CCATCCCCATCCCCATCATCCCCATCCCCATCATCCCCATCCCATCCCACCCCCCAGCTCAGCCCCCTCTCCCCCCAGCAGAGGCAGGGGCTGCTCCAGGACCTGGCCCACAACGCCCGGTTGGTGCAGGAGGTGCTGGGCCGGGCCCCCGGCATCCACTGCCCCCCGCTCCAGGGGGGTGCCCGCGCCTTCCCCCGCATCCAGCTCCCGCCCCGCGCCCAGCGCCAGGCCCGGGTGAGCCCCAGGGGGACGGGGAGGTGGTGGGGGGACCTGGGGAGTGGGGCAGGATGGGGACAGGAGACATCCTGGGGACGTGGGGACGTGGGACACCATGGGTGGTGGGACACCATGGCAGCACAGGGCATGGTGAGGGCGTGGGACATCTTGGGGACTTGGGTCAAGGCAGAGCATGGGGCATCCTGGGGACAGGAGACATCCTGGGGATGTGGGACACCATGGGAGATGGGACACCATGGGAGCACAGACCATCCTGGGGACAAGGGACATCCTGGGGACTTGGGTCAAGGCATGGCATGGGGCATGTTGGGACAGGAGCCATCTTGGGGACGTGGGACAGGCTGGAAGGGTGGGGAACCCTGTGGTGTGGGGCGTCTTGGGGACATGGGACACCACGGGACATGGGACATCATGGGAGCACAGGCCATCCTGGGGACATGGGACATCTTGGGGACTTGGGTCAAGGCATAGCATGGGGCATCCTGGGGACAGGAGCCATCCTGGGGACATGGGACAGTCTAGGAGGGTGGGGAACCCTGTGGTGTGGGGCATCTTGGGGACATGGGACACCATGGGTGTACAAGGCACCTTGTGGTATTGGGCACCCTGGAGATGTGGGGCACCCTGGGGACATGGAGGTCTCCAAGGACTTAGGACACCATGGGAGTATGGGGCACCCTCTAGCATGGGGTGTCCTGGGGACATGGGGCACCCTGGGACAAGGGACGCCCTTGGGATCCAGAGAAACCCATGGCATGTGTCACCCGCAGGACACAGGGTGTCCTTGGGACAGTGTGTCCCCCCCCATGGCACAGGGTGACCGTTCCATTCCTTGTCCCCAGGAGCTGGGCCTGGAGCCCGATGTCTTCTTCTGCCACAAGCTGTTGGAGGCAACAGGGATCGTGGTGGCCCCAGGGAGCGAGTTTGGGCAGATGGAGGGCACCCACCACGTGGGGTACCTGGGCGGGGGGGGACAGGCGTGGGTGATGAGAGGTCCTGGGGTGGGTAGGTGGGGGTTGGATGATGGGGAGGGTGGTGGGGAGCACTTGGGGGTGATATTTTGGGGTTGCGTGAAGGGTGGGCAGTGCTGGGGTCTCATGGGACAGCAGGGGAAGCTGGTCTGGGTTGGACCATTGGGGTGATGGAAGACTGGTTGGCACTGGGAGGTTGGGTTGGGTGTTGGAAGGGTCATTGTGGTTGGGTGGTTGAGTTGGTTGCTGGAGGGTCATTGGGGTTGGGTTGGGTCATCATGGTTGGGACTGGGAGGTTGGGTTGGGTATTGGAGGGTCATCGGGGTTGGGACTGGGAGGTTGGGTTGGGTGCTGGGTGCTGGTGGCACCACAAGTTTGGAGTTGGGGACTGGGTGACACCAAGTTATGGAGGGGCCCAGTTGAAGTTGGCCAACGAGGACGTCATGGAAGATGGAGCTGGGGGGGCAGGAGGTGGTAGGGACCACTGGTGGTGGTTGGGGGGCAACAGGGCTGGGTGAAGGGGGAATGTGGGGTGGAGGGGGGGGTGTGGGATCACCCATGTCCCCCCCACGCCCCCCAGGGTGTCCCTGCTGCCACGGGCCGCGACGCTGGAGCGGGTGCTGCTGACCCTCACCCGCTTCCACGCCGCCTTCCTGCAAGACTTCTCCTGATGTGGGGGGCCACCTTGGCCCCGTGTCCCCCCATTAAAGCCCTCCCAGATCACACCCTGCCTCTTCTTGTCCCTCCCCCAACCCCATGGGCACCCACGTCACGAGTGTGGGGGGGTCTCAGCCCAACCCCACCGGTGTGGGGTGGTGGGAGCACCCATGGGTGCCCGGTTGGAGATGATGGATGGATGGCTCGACCCGGCTGGTCACTACCCTTTTATTAGTGGGGAGGGGGGAGAGCTGGCCCTGCCCGATGTCCCCATGTCACCCCCCCCCAGGGGACATGGGGAGAAGGAGGGGGGGGACCAGCCCCGGGACACGGGGTGCCCTCATGTCCCCCCAACCCTTGAAGAAGGCACAAAGATTTTGAAGGCACTTAAGAGACCACCAAGACCAGTCGGGGCAGGGGCCCGGCCCGCGGCACCCGGGGCCTGGTGGGGAGTGTGGGGCAGTGCGTGCTGATGTGTGGGGGGGTTATGGGGTGCAGTGCTGG